ATATTTGAAGAACTAACTAAATGAATAATTTTTATTAATACGGAGGAGATGGATTGTTTAAGTTTAGACTTTGGAGTTAGAGATATTAATATTTGTGTACTTGTATTTGAATATTAGCCTAGGTTGGTTTGGGAAGTCCGGGGGGTGGGGGGATGGGATATAACATTGTGTAATATCTGTGATGTATTTCTTTTTTTTTTATGATAAAAACAATAAAAAATTTTATAGAGAAAAAAAAAAAAAAGAGAATTAATGACGCGACATTTGAAAACAAGGGGAAAAGTCCATTAACAAAAGTACATTCCAAGGGGTTTGAGAATATTGAGGATATGGTATTCATAGAAGTGTTAGAAAAGAAGTCAACGGGTTGAAACTGAATTATCATCCTAAGGTCCGATATTTAAATACTCACTGCCTCAGAAAATCAATTTTTAAAATTATGTTAGCTGTATAAGCAGGAAAATTAGGAGGAAGATCCTACTCTTAGCTCTGATTCTTAATAATTGTCAGTTCTACCACCAAGGTAACATCAGGAAAATTCATTATCTAAACCAACATAAGCTTTTAGCACTATCGTAAGTCATTATGAGGCCCTGAACAAAACACCAGCATTCTCTTTTTTGTAAAATATGACAATTCTCTCATAACAAACCCATAAATTGAAAATGTATTCATTAGGATTCTTTTTTTAGAATAAAATCAGCCAGAACAAATGAACTTTCTATGACAGATTATCAAATAGCTAAATGTTCACTCTTTGTTTTTAAAGTGCCTATAAAATTTACAATTAAAGATTAAATTTGTTCTGCTTTCTTTTAAATCCTTCAGCTTTAAATACACCTCTACGTAACAGTCTTTAGTCTCTACTGGTACTTAATCCTAAGTATCAATGATATTAATAACATTATGTTGTTCTAGACATGTTTGATAAGCATTTACATGCACTAATGCAATAATCAAATTTTAAATAAACTCAATTAAAAAGAACCCAAACAATTCTTGTATTTAATTTCATGTTGATGTTTTATGTTATGCGGGTTACATCTGAGTGGAAGCAACCCACAGCTCTGCTTATGTTGAAACAATGAAATGCAGGCAGTCCTTGACTTATGACCACAATTGAGAATTTCCATTGCTAAGCAAGGCAGTTGTTAAGTGAGTTAGGGCCCCATTTCATGACCTTTTTGCCATAGTTGTTAAGAGAATCATGTGGTTTTTTAATGAATCTGGCTTCCCTACTGACTTTGTTTCTCAGAAGCCAGCTGGGAAGGTTACAAATGGGGATCACAGGACCCCAGGACTGTGCAAGTGTCATAAATTGTCAAGGTAATGATTTCAAACTAACCAGCTGATGTAATGTAAGACGTAAGATATAATGATGCGAATGACTCAGCAGGGTCTGTGTCGCTTTAAGAGCCTTTGTATAAAAGGAAAGGCTCCGCAGATGTGTGCTCTCTCTTCCGTTTTCTTGCTGTAATTGCTGTGTGTTGGATTCTGCTGTATTACCGCGTGTATGTATATTGTTCCTGGTGTATGATATTGTAGATAGTGTAAGATAAACCACCGTTTAATACAGATCACTGTTTACTGTGTTTACTCCTGGGTTATCTCAGTGCAATAAGACTGTGCATGCTCTGACATAAATACAGGCCAAGTTTTGATCACATGACCATGGAGATGCTGCAATGGTTGTTAAGTGAGAAAAGTGATCATAAGTTATCTTTTTTTCAGTGCCATTGTACTTTAAACTAAATCACTAAACGAAGGATTTTAAGTCAAGGAGTATCTGTAACTTTTCTTATTCCAGCTATACTTAGCTGGCGTTTAACAATTAGCACCCTATTTCCAGAAGAAAAAACCAGAAGTCATTTCAACAGGGTAAAGATGCCACTAATTTATGTTATACCTGGGTTCGCAACTGCTGGATTTCAGCTTCAAGTTGTCGGATTTTCTCCTCTCGCATTTGAAGCTCAGCCTGGGCTTCCTGCCGAGCTGTGAATTCTTCATCAAACTGCAATGATCACCAGTATGGAAATAATCATTCATCTTGGTCCAAATTTAATACTGCTCCATAAGAACGAAAGATTGAGCTAAAGAAATCTGCCTGGCTTCGTGGATTACTTAAAGTAATGCCAGAGCATGGAATGGAATGGAATGGAATAGAATGGAATGGAATGGAATGGAATGGAATGGAATGGAAAGTAGTCAGAGCAAAAAGTATCTTGAGATAGTTTTCTTCATACACCTATGCAGTAACAGTAGGCTATTTCCCATTATAAATTTCTATTAGGTTAAGCAACGGGAAGCAGTACTTATTCTAATTAATATATGTGGAATTGCGCCAAATGATTAACTGGAGATGAGAAACACCAGTAGGGGATAGTTAAAAATTCTTGAGTCAACTTATAACCTCTGGGTGTCCATAGAATTAGGTTGGAGGTAAACAAGGATGTTTATCTTAAAGATGAATTGGCTAAAGCTAAGACAGAACAGGGATAATCTGTCCCCTATAAGAGCAATTTAAGGATTTTAAGCTAAGATAAGGCAAGGTGAAACAAGAGACAGACAAAAGCTTTTCTATCATACCAAATACCCCAACTTCTAAGCTAAGTTCTGCCTGGTTGCTAAGGGATTTTTCGATTATTAATTGAAATAATTAGTTTGATTTAAATGATCACTAAATATCTAAGTGTATTTTTATCGTGCCTGGGTACAGCTGTTTTCAGATATAAGCATAGTAACACTTAATTCTGAAAGCGAAGACCTTTTAACAAAAATATGTAGAACTATAACAATGAAAGTTTCACAAAGGCTGCAAGATGACAAATTGTTTGGTGCCTACCTTTTTGGAAAAATCAGCAGCTTTTTGCTCACTTTCTTCAACTTTTGCTTTGTTCACACAGCTGTCTGAAAGGATACAAATAATAGGGCCCAACATAACTACAATTTTAAAAATCCAAGATACACAATACCATACAGCGATACCATTGCTTCTGAAAGGAAGCAAATCGTTTTTAAAATCATCTGGGTTAAAAAAAAATAATGTTCTTGAATAGCCTCAGATTTGTTCTATAAAGGACAAATATATATGAAACCCTTCTCTTTCCTCACTAAAATTTTTATTTAAAAAAACACATTTGCCTATTTTTATATTTTACATTTCTAAAATTACTCAGGACTAAAATTAACATTAATCAAAACAGGGTTGCAGCTGAGAAAAGCTAAATACATAATGATTATTCCTACAATTCTAGTGATAATGCATTCATTTCTATTCTCCCTGCTCCAAAATCAGTGGAATTTCTATATGGATATGTAGGCATGTTTGTAGACAGAATAAACAAGAGATCACAAAGCACTGAATCCTTGGCACTTGCTGTATATAAATTCCACTAAAAATGGAAGAACAAACAAGGATCTTTTGATCTCAGCAACTTCATAGAAAAACTGACTGCATGGAAAAAATAGTAAATCATAATTATGAAAAACACTGAACACCTACCCACAAGATGCGTGAAGTCTACATCCAATCTTCCTCTACATTTGAAGTCAGGATCCATACCACTACAGTGCAATACTATCTGTGAAACACATTCTTCTATTATCTTGTAATATTGAGGGCTGGTGTGAAAAATAAAATGCAATCGTTTTTGTAATAAATAATCAACAGGCACACTTAAAAAAGAAAAAAAAGTCACATAATCCAATGGTTCCCAACCTTTCCTTCACCATGGACTCCCTTTAAATACCTTTTGTGGCCACAGACCCTGGCCACGGACCACAAGACTTAACTTAATTTAAGCTTATTCGCACCATAGCAGCCCTCAAACCTAACATTTTTTGTTGATTTAAACAAAAGATCTGTTTTATCTGCCACAAAACAGATAATACACAATACTACAATACAGTGGGATCTTCTCCTCTGCAATGGAATCACCTTGAAAGTGTTAGCAATTAATTTGCTAATGCCTCTTTGATAGTTTCACCTGAAAAGAAAGATGGGAATTCGCGTTCCCTTTACTATATGACATCCTCCTTTAATTAAGCCACAGGATGCATCATTGAAACATGAAAAGCAAAAGAGCTGGGCTTACCGTATATAATAATCGTTCCTAATGAGTAAAAAATGTTGTAAAATGGATAGGAAGTAGTTTTCGGATGTTGTTTCTCTCAACATATTATACAACAAGTGGTAAACTTCATTCACATCAGTAAAAGAACCATTAAGGAAATGTCAGAATAGATGAACCATAGATAATCACTATATTTTGAAACTCAACGCCGAAAAAGCCTTGAAAATTCTTCTACTGTGTTACTGAATATTGGACACTAACTTTAAACTCTAAACTGGGACATGTACTTTAAGCCTCCATTTACCGCTACAACAAAATTTAAAGTAACCCTTTAAATGCTATGATTTAAGATTGGAATGTTTAAATGTTTAAGGTAGCATCTTTGTACTTAACTGCTAAAATAAGGTGCCTGTTTTCATTTGTCAATATGAGAATTGTCCAAAATTAACAATACCTCTAGCTCTTTAAGTTTTTAAAATGTATTAAAACAATTAAGAAAATAAATCCACACTGTAAAGTTATTGTGCGACTTAAATAAAGCCACAAGGTTTATTTTAGTTCCCCAAAAAACTTTAATATAAATCCAATAATATGTTGAATACCGAGAAGAAAGTTCAATATAAATTCATGTGACTCATTTAGCAATGCTCTTAATTGACTCACACATTATCCTAAATAATTATCACTATTCTTATTTATTTGCAAAAACAGTAGCTTTTCCTGTACCCTAATGAAACATGTTCTGTTTTCAAGGCTTTCTCATTCTCTGTTACCATTCAGTTCTAAGGAAAATAGTATATATTATTATTATTGTTATTGTTATTATTTAAAAAAAGGATATTCCATTTCCACTTTGATGTCATTGAGACGATGGGCTAATTCAATTAAGTCTTCCTCTTTGTTTTCATCAAATACTTTCAACTGAATATCAAGTTCTTCATTCTCCTTCTCTTTTAGGTCCTAGTATTTCATAAAGCAATTTGAACAATTTACATCTTCTCAACATATGGTGCCATAAAGCATAAACAAATATTAAATACTCATTCATTTTTCAACTTTGTACCTGCATGCATCTGGCAAAGTCTGATGGAAATTGAAACTGGCTGGCTTTCAAAACAATATGGTTAGGAGTCTATCTATCCTATTTTCATTTGTGATTCTGTTTCATCGTAGTAAAATGCAGACAGTTCAGGTCAGGTCCTTCAATGTTTTACATCTAACAAAAAGAGTCTGTAACTTTGACGCACATCTCAAACACAAACTTAACTAGACCAAATAAATAATTGCTCCAATATAATGGTTCAGCACTACCTTAACCAGTATGACATGGAGTTATAATCAAATCATTTAAAACATTGACTGTCTTCATATATTCAACCACGACAGCTCCACAAAGTATGTTATTTGGTAAAACTGCTGGGAACACCGCTATAAAAATTGTGAATGTCTATCCCAAGAAATGTGCAGTTAAATAATCTCTTTTACCCAAGCATTTTATGTATAAAATCAAATTATAACTATTAACTTAAATTGCAAAGAATATTATTTTCCAAGTGTGTTTAACTTTTACTTAATAGCATTTTACTTATATTGTCTGCAACATGAAATATGTCTACAATATAGATACTGACATGTAATATTCTGAATTCTACGAATGTACCAGTTATATCAAAATCATTTTTCAAGTTCATCTGCTTGTGGTGACATAGTATTTTTGGCAGACGCTTTTATTTCTAATGCTGCAATTCTTTTTTTTAAGACAACGGTTTGTAACCTTTTTATAACATCAACCACTTTGAGTGTATGGTAAAACGAATATGGTAAAGAAAAAGAATATGGTAAAACCTTCTCAGAAAACAAACAAACAAATAAAAGCATTGAATTAAAACAGAGATTAATTATGGCTTTATCTTGACTTATTTTTCTTGTAAAACATCCACAGCCACATTTTTGGAAGTGGACAGCCATGTAAATTCTTTAAAGTAACAAATAAATAACATAAATTGAATTACAAAGGAAGCCAATTATATTCACAAAGAATTGCCAAAATTACAATAGATAACACAACAATGTACCTGTTTCTTTATTAATCCACTAAATAAATGGCGAAACAATAAATACGTTTAAAAGAACTACAAATTAAAATCAAATGTTTTGGATTTAAAGAGTTTATAAATCACGTTGCCTACGTTCATTTTGTTTTTCTACTACACCTGAGAATTGTTGAAGGTAAAATTATGCTGTCCTGATAGTTAGATAGTCCTCATTTACTTAAATGGTAATTGCATAACATTATCAATCATTAAAAAATCACACAATAGGTTTTCCACCAGTGTATGCAATTTCTATTAATTTAATGTATTGTGCCATTACAAAAAAATATATTGTGGTTGTGAATTTTAAAGCTCACACAGGATGCCTTTTAACTTTAATACAAGTAATTATGAATTTATATCAAATTAATGTGGCCTGAATTCAAGTACTGTTTAAATATTAGTGTTTTAGGTTTTATTTGCAGTGCACTCGAGGTGCGCACATGTAAACTTTTATAGCACGCCACACTGGCCCATCATAGAGATTAATATGTTGCCTTGAAGTTATTTTACTATTATGTTTTTAATCCTGCAGCTTTCCAGTAACACTAACGCTCCATAATCACATTCAAAGATAGCAATAGAGTAGAAAGATGAAGTGTGGAGTGTATATTAAAAAAATTTCAATAATGTAGAGTCTGTGGTCAGCCGTGAAGAAAACAACTAATCAAGTAATGATCTTTTGATTTGCCTATCAAGAAGGTAGGTTGGATACATAACTCCTTATATATTTATTGGTAAAATTTATTATTTTACAGTCATAGAAATATGTTGATGAGTGTACAATTAAAACCTAAGGATGTGGAGGATGGAGCGGAGTGGGGGAGATGGGATCTGCTGTAGTCAGCCAATCTCCTTTACTGTGCACTTCTCTCCCCCAGACCAATTGGCAGAGGAAAATCAAAAAAAGCCCTGGTTTGGAAGGTTTATACACTTAACTGTTTTTTAAAAAAGGTGCTATAGAAATATTTCAAACAAAAAATAGATCAAGGCAGCAGTACAGACTTGTCCTTCCCTTCAAGGATTGGCAGAAAGACAATAGGATTATTGGCAAGGAAAGGAAGCATTTTGAATGCATTGTGCCTAGGTCATCACAACAACTTATGCTGTTTAAAAACTGTTAAAATACATCATAAATACTGCACTATCGTCTAATGATTATAAGAATATGATGATATGCTACACCACAAATGCCCACAAAAAATCTTAGTGAGCTATTTAATGCCATAAATTTAGTTTCTACCGTGGTCAGGATAAGAATTTTTCTACCTAAAATTAGAAATGTACTTAATTCTGAAATAGTCCCATTGACAAGTAAAGCTATATTAAGGTTATATGGGCAATAAACTCAATAGGAAATACACACACACACACACATATAATAAAATATCATCCGATCATTAGATTAGTAACATCTCCCCATTTTAGCTTTTATAGATATTTAGATTTTATTAATCTCAGCACTCTTTCAATTGAACACAGAAAGGTAATTCTGTTTTAATGTGCCCTACATTCTTCTTTTTAAATGGCATAATTATTCTCATAAATTATATTCATTAAAAGACATTGTGGTGATTTGAGGTCCTAAACAAGAGAACCTGCAGTTGTAGAATAAAAGATTTAATTAAACCTGTACATCTGTCAGTCATGACGGTTTGTTAAAAAAAAATTGGCTTCACAGTAGCTGTTCTCAAAAACTGCTATGTAATTGATCAAATTTCCCCATGTCCGGCTTTATTAAATGTTTAAATGATAAAGGAAGGTAATAGTTTACCGGATGACTGATTACATCCGGTAAACTATTACCTTCCTTTATCATTCTGTGTACTTTATTTTTTCTTCTTAAAATTGGAACCTTAAATCACCAGGCAAATTAAAATCTAAATTATGGCAAAGGTTATGAAACCATCTTGATTTGCAGTCTGTTATCTGAACTAAATCTCGCGGAGATAAAGAAATTAAAAATATAACCATTTTGCTCTGAAAAGTGGAGATGAAAATAGAAATGCCTTCAAAGAGAAAAAACAAATACACCTTACACAACATACCGTGTTTTGCTGTGCTATGAAAAGCAATGTTTCATATTATGTTTCAACATGGTAATCATCAAGAAAAGTGAGGTGAGGTCATGGCTTGCCATATTTCCAATATATATTACATTGCACCGCTATATAGCTTTGCAATCATAGAATCCATTTATTTCACAACCGATTTCTTTCGAGGGAGCAAATGGAAGGGTTTGGAAGTCAGAATTTCTGAGAATCATGGCTTATCGTAAATAAAGTAGTACACTATGACTTCCTGTTGCTACTTGGAACAACATGAAAAACCTCATGGTGCCTCTATTTCTTCTCAAACGTGGCATCCTCAACTTGTCTCTTAGTAGTCAAGATAAGCTGATTGATTCCTACTCTCACATATTTGAAAAGACAAAAAGCAGATATCTCTACTCAAACTCACGATAAACATACAGGCTTATAAAGACACATATATATGCAACCATGCTACATTATGTTATGACTTCACTTAGCAAGATTGTCAATCCTTCTATTAGTCTAGTAAGGTGTTTCTCATTTATATATTGGCTGGGAAATTCTGGAGTTCAACTCCAGGCATCTTAAAGTTGGTAAGATTGAGAAATACTGGTTGAATAAATTCCTACATCTATCTATCTATGTATCTATGTATCTATGTATCTATGTATCTATGTATCTATGTATCTATCTATCTATCTATCTATCTATCTATCTATCTATCTATCTATCTATCTGACGCACAATGGCCCAGCGGTTAGCACACTGGGCTTGTCAGCTGGAAAGCCAGGAGCCCAGTTTGAGACCTGAGCACCACATGACAGGTTGAGCTCTTGTCCTCATCCCAGTTCCTGCCAACTTAGTAGTTCTAAAGCATGCAGATGTGAGTAGATTAATAAGTACCACTTCGATTGGAAGGTAACAGTGCTCTGTGATGTCATGCTAGCCACATGACTGCAGAAATGTCTTCAGATAGCACTGGCTCAATGGTCTTGAAACGGAGATGGCTAGCGGAGTAAAATCTACAGAGGGACTCTATCTATCTATCTATCTATCTATCTATCTATCTATCTATCTATCTATCTATCATCTATCTATCCATCCATCCATCCATCCATCCATCCATCCATCCATCCATCCATCTATCTATCTATCTATCTATCTATCTATCTATCTATCTATCTATCTATCTATCTATCTATCTATCATCCACCCATCTATGCATCCATGTATCTATGTATCTATTTTGCATTTGTGATTTGTTAACATTCTAAAACAGCATAATGGAAGGAAAAGGTAGTTTAAAGGATGAAACATTTGCATCATGATAGGAGCATTTATTTTTGAAAGTTCAGTCAATGATTCTTTCCCATTATTTAACTAAGAAAGAAAAAGGGGAAGCAGAGATCTGAGGAAATATAGAATACCCTCAAATAACACATGACGTCCTAAGTGGATGTCTTCTTCACATGACAAGAATTCCTCCCGAGTCCCAGTTTCGTACTTGAACTTCAGGATGAAGCTGATCTCCCACGTACTACTTAATAACCTGAACTTGCAAGCTTTGCAGGAAAGCTGTACTCAGCATTAATGGGCAACTTGCCAAGGCATCCCATCTCTTCCCAAGAAGAGTTGAGATGACCTAAAAGATGTTCTACAGCAACTTCATTTGCAGCCAGTCTAATCCAAGCCCAACCTAAAATCTACAAAACCAGGCTTTCAAGATAGAGCATGCTGGTTAAATTGAAATAATGGATTTCTTGCTTTGGTAATGAACTAATTCACCAGAGATCTGAGAACTTGTTATTTTAGAGCTGCAAGAAAAGGAGGTGACGCTTTTTCAGATCTCCCCAGCTAAACATATTACTTTTACTGCATTTGCGTGATCAAATGCCAAATGTTCAGGGCTGTGGAAAAATTATAGCTGCATGCCATAAAATGCAAAAGGGGTTTGCCGAGGCAAACACATTGCTGCAGTTTTCCATGTCAACCATCTGTACCCATTTAATACCGTTAAGATTCCAGTCGCAACTGGCATGTTAGGTTAAAAAAAAAAAAATGCAGAGTCTGTAATTAGGTATAGATGTTACCCAGCTGGGTAAAAATCTAGGAATACCCCTTGACTCTGACATGGGTCATCTGGATTTAAATCATCTAACCAGGGTGTCACATTTCAGGATGCCTGTATGATTTGTCTTTCTTATTCATAGGTATTCGGGACTTAAATTCTTCTGTTCAATGGCTTAATCCGAATTGGTAATCGTCTTTTCTATTTAACAGAAGAGGCTAACCATGTGGGCTTTTCAGATACCCTGTAAAGTGGTTTTCTGTCTTCTAGAATGAAGATGAAATCATGATGAAACAGAAGACCAACATCTTGTGCCCATCCTTTCTCCAATGGGCCTGACCCAAGCCAGCTTTTTAAATTGGTGCTTTATGCATAAGGAATTGGAATATTTGATCCCATTTTTAGGCAAGCAAAATGCCCCATCATAAATTGCTCCTGAACAATGCAGAGTAGAAACAAATTCACTCCCTGTCATAGAGAAAGTGGACTAATTTTGAAGAATATCGGGAATTTTGCCAGAAGATTTTATCTTGGCCATTACTTTACAGAAGCAGTAATTTAATTACAGCATTTTAATTTTCAAACAGAGGGGACATTACTGGGTTCCTAGAACTGCTAGAAACATGAATGAGTGAAGAGGTTCTGCTACTACTGAGAAAACGCATATTTAAGATGGTAATATTTGTTTCTACCTTTACAGTAATGGAAAAAAATGAATTGTAGTTAAAAAAAAACCTCATAGCATATGTTACATAAATAATCTACGTGTTTACTGTTAACTTTGGCATTAAATCCTTTTCATCTGTGTTACAAGCAAACTACTCATTTCCATTTATTTCTTCTCTACAGATTGTTTGGATATCAAAATCAGCTGATGTTGATTACAGTTTAATTTTGAAAGGATTAGATGAAGACCAACTTTTCTATACTTCCTTTTCTAACTGGGTGTCAGTCACACTCATAAAAGATCTACATCCAGCCCACCTTGACTTAGCTATCACCAATTTGCTTTCACTGTTAGATTGTCCAGATTGTTGTAGAGAATTTTAGCATACAATAAACCTATATACTCATTTGAACTGCCTAGACTCCTGATTTCCTGCGCTGGACATGTTTCATTTACTATATTTCTTTAAAAGGACTCAACAATAGTTCTTTCTCGACTTAAAAATAGAAGATAGCTATTTTTTTTTCTTTAAAATTTAAGGGGAACTTTTTTATACGAAGAGCTTCTGTGGTAAGCTATATGTTATACACACCATATGCTTTTCTTACTCAAAGAAGTATAAAAACATATCTAAAATGAACAGTGTGTCCAAGAACAGTTATAGTTTACCATAAATGTAAAATCCTCCCATTCTTTACACTTCCTTAGAAGTCATTTTGGAATTAAAGCTTAAACACAGTCAGCTCACAGTCTAAATTTGATTTAAGCTTTGATTCTGCCTATCATAAGTTCATGGCACTATTAACTATCCAATACATACTTTAAAATTCCCTACATCAATAAAAGTAAGTGTAAGCAATCATTTGTCATAAAAAGAAAATTATTTTTCACTGTTGAACATTTTTAATGCTGCAGCATTCTGCTTCCCTTTCACAATGATTAAAATGATAAAGAACTATTAAAGTCAAGCTTCGCCGTATCTTGCAAGTCTTTTGTAAGATTTATCATCACAAAGCAAGCAATCATAGAACCCGGTACATTAGCACTTCTATTGCAAGTAACTTACTGGTAATATTTTCTTTAGCCCGCAGCGCAGGAATTCATTTCTCAAATGTACCCTAAAATCAAGCTCTTCTGGAGAAGTGACAAGGGCGTTTATGAACTGCATGCAGGCAACCTGTAAATAGAAGTTATAGTTAATGTAGCTTATTAGAGTCGGCACACTCAGTGCACATGTGCAATAAAACTGGAGAAAACAATAAATGTACATTTTTAACTAACTAGAAAGAGTGCAGAGAAAAACAACAAAAATGATTAGAGAACTGGAGGCTAAATCATATGGAGAACGGTTGCAGGAACTGGGCATGTCTAGTCTAATGAAGAGAATGACTAGAGGGGACATGATAGTAATGTTTCAATATCTAACAGGCTGCCACAAAGAAGAGAGAGTCAACCTATTTTCCTTGTCCTGAAGGCAGAGCAAGAAGCAATGGCTGGAACTTCTAGTCAAGGAGAGAAGCAACCTAGAAAAGGGGTCTTCAAACTTGGCCCTTTTATGACTTGTGGACTTCAACTCCCAGAATTCCTCAGCCAGCATGGCTGGCTCAGGAATTCTGGGAGTTGAAGTCCATGAGTCATAAAAGAGCCAAGGTTGCCTACCCCTGAGCTAGGCCATGCTGTGTTTTGCTCAGGTGTAACTGACAGATTGGATGCCAAATTGTGATTTTAATATAGATTTTATCTTTTATTTATTATTTTATTTTAGAATTTTTTTACCCGATATTCCTTGAGTGTTTTTCCCTTGTTCTGGTCTCTGGTCTTTGACTGTTACAAATTTACTTGATTTGACTTGGTCCTGTGACATTATGCTCAATAACTGCACCATTTGCTAATCCCTACTGCAGTCAGTAAATGAGGACTCCTTATAGCAGAATGCTGTTGTTTGAGCGACAGACCTCATAATGTCAAGACCTTTACAATAATTAAAAGCAGAGTGAACGCTAGGAAAAAAACTTAACTGCAAGCCATGCTTAGAACAGGTTATTAATCCTTAACCTTTTTGCAGACAAGCTCAAGGTGTGCTTTTGAAAATGGATACATATCCTCAAATTATTCTATCAACACTGCTGCACTGAAACCTATAACTCGATCCTCCATAAAGTGAATATAATTTTAATATATAATATATAAAACACTGCAAGCTGGTAAATTCTTTCAATGCACACATCCCTGTAATGCTGTACTGTAGTGGCCTGAATTATCCTTGTTATGTTACAGCGATGACATAACTGAACAAGCCAAAGTACATGTCCAATCAGAAATTAATAGAGAGAAAAGGTGCCATCTGCTGTGATTGTTTTTGCCAGGAGAAATTCTGGCTTAATTGCTTGTATTAATACTGGTAGAGAGACCAATTCAGTCAGAGACGAGTTAATGAGTCCTGCCGTTGTACCTTCAGTCACGGAGTATGGATGTGAGAGTCGTAAAAATCACAAAGTCCTTAAAGGAGATTGACTTTGGAATCACTGTACAAGAGCGTATCACATAGGCAGAGTGCATAATGCACTTACTTCTGTTTTAATGTTCTTGTGTTGTATGTAAAAGCTAAGCAGAGTGGGCCTTTCTATTTATCTAGCTCAACAGATTCTCCCCTAAGGCCACACTAAAGACAGTATGTGCAGAAAGAACCCCACCTAAATTATCAGTGGTTCCATTTCAAAACCAAGGCACTAAAGCAGAACGTGATTATATTTGACGTTGACAAGAGGATTTTATTATTCAAATAAAAGTCATTAGCATCAATTCTGCTAAGCCTTCCACCCTTGAGAGGAGCCGAAAATAATAACCACGGTGGTACATTCGTCCACTGGGAAGCAATTCAAGTATAGCGCTGGGAAAATCAAAAACAGGTGTATCAACATTCAGTTGAGCAAAATAGCAAATTATTGACTGATGGAAAAGGGTTGAAATTCTAAAAAAAAAAAAAATCCTAGATGGCCAGCCTCAGCTGTTATTTAGTGCAGTATTTTATTGCCTTTAGAGTTTTGCTTTAAGATGTTAAAGCAAATGTGTTACTCTTACCTATTCTTGTTATTTTTATTTACTGTTAATTTTATTTATTGTTCCAGACCGCTTGTGTATTTATTCGAAGAGGAGGAGATCTTTTCACAGGGCAAGCATGAATAGAAATTACATTGTCCATCCCAGAGTTTGCCTTCAGAAGAGAAAAGGGATATCACTGCATCGTAATCTGACCTTTGGAGAACCTAATCTTTCCTGTCGGTTCCTTGTAGCACTGCAGGTTTTCCTACTGTCATGTCAAGATTACAGAAATAATTCTTGTCTTATGGACTTAACCTTACAAGACAGAAGTCACAAACTCAATCATTATCTCATTCAGATGTTGGCATTCCAGGTTTTGATTTTATCTTTGTCTCAGAGACAGTCTGGGAGAAGACTTGCTCTTTGAACACTAACTAGCCATCCAAAAAGTTCTATCTCAGTCTTATGCTCCCAGAGATCTTCGGATGGAGAAATGTCTTAGCTAAAAATTCAGAAATTCGACCATTTATACATCCTACTGTAATGTTCCATTCATAATCGCAAGAAAGTCATGGGCAACCAAAATGGTTATGAGGCTTCCTTATGAGTAATTGTTGGTGCTCTCTGAGCTTGGTTGTTTCCTTGCAGATCTTTCATTACCCAAACTAGGTAATATAATCAATGCAAAGACCCCTCATTTCAAAACTGAACTACAAATGTTCTCCTTTATCGGTCTTCCTTGTACACAAAACTCTGGGGGGGGGGAATGATTCCAGAAAAGGATTTTTATAAGTATGTAAAGATTGCCTCCATGAACCAAAAATTTATATTCTAAAATATGCTGTCCTGCATAGAGAAAAGAGAAGCATTTATTTTATAATCCTATGCATTCGTAAACAGTTTTTTTTAAAAAAGTCAGTAAATAGTGAATTTCTGCAATGGATAGCAATGGGCGTTTCAAATGTGTTTATGCAGAGTATAAAAGAAGATTATCAAGCTTTTGTTCCAGAGATTTTAGATGAATATTTATTTGGGATTTGAAACCTCTATCCAAAACAAGGTCACCGGAACCAAAATTATCTACAGCCACTTTAAACATTTTTGATACGGGTAGTAATTAAAATGCATTGTTGCCTAATCTAATTGTCTAAATTGTAATCCAAGAAATCCTACCTGTAATTGCAGAGCTTCGTGATTTTCAAGCCCCTCCACTATGTTAGCAAATCGTTCTCCATTATTTCTCTCAGCTGCAATTGTTATAGCTCCTAAAATTTTGTCGAGCCTGTAACAGAGATTTATTTCAATGGGTTGTAAAGATATGCAGGTACTTTTTAAACAGACTATTCGAAAATCACACCTCAGATTCTTAAAGGCATTTTTCCCTCTTTTGCAGCAAATTGATTTAAAAACCAGCACCTAAAAAGCAATCTGCTACTAATCAAGGAAATAAATCTTTGAGTTTACTGTTGCTGCTGTTGTTGCTGCGATTCTTAAATGAAGTCAAGATTATTTAAGCTTTGGATCCTTAGGTAACTAACTTGAAAAAGTTCGTGGAGCAAAAACGATTCCATCCTGTATTCCTCCTTGCAGCTATGCTTGCATTCAAAAGTGACCTCAAATCAAATAAAATAGCCCCAGCAAGGCCTTGTTGCAAGAGACAACAGTAATTGGGCGTGGACTTCCTGTCACTAAGTGATGCGGTTGCAAAGTGGGATGTCATGTGATAGCACTGCTTAATGATGGCAGTTTTGGCCAGCACTGGTTACCATCATTAAGTGAGGACTACATGAATCATTAAGCAAGGATATCGTTTGGTTGTGACTTCTGACTTCATGCCGGCTTCCCCATTAAATTTGCTTGCAGAAAGCCAGCAATGAAAAATTGCTAGTCTTGATCATGTAACCAGGGGATGCTGCAATGGCCACAATTTCAAAGACTGGTCGCAATGACCACTCAATCAGCATAGTCGTAAGTTTGAACGGCTGCTGAACAAATGGTTGTTAAACAAGGTCCACCTGTTCATCCAAATGCTGCTCTCGAGCAACTCTGACATGCTCTCTTTGATCTAGGACAGGGGTAGGCAACCTTGGCTCTTTTATGACTCATGGACTTCAACTTCCAGAATTCCTGTGCCAACATGGCTGGTTCAGGAATTCTGGGAGTTGAAGTCCACGAGTCATAAAAGAGACAAGGTTGCCTACCCCGATCTAGGAGATAGCAGATGTGTTTATCCTCCAGATGAGTAGCCATAAAAGAACTCTTAAATCTCTTTGGGAGTCAAGGGCCAAGAGGAAACATATGGAAGTCAACATATTAAAGGAAAATTAAATGGATAATTACAGAGGTTGCCCTAAAAATAGGTTTTATAAATTTCTTTAATTAATTAAATAAATTAAATAGTTCTGTTACTTACATGTTTTCTTCTCCCACGATACAAATGGCAGAGAGTATTTTCACTGTTTCAGTCATCATGTTTGGTTGCTTTGGGTCAATTGCTCTGGCCAGTAAGAGAAGGCTTCGGTCATCTCCCAGTATTCTTTGTAGTCCATACTTGGAGGGGGAGAAGGAATGGTTTAAAAGATATGAGATCGCAGCACACACAATCTTAGAAAGTCTTAGAATCCCTAAACAAATTACAAGCTTCTGAAAGAGCCAGATTTGCAGAGATGGAGTGCGGCAGCAGCCAAACAAGTTAATACAATCCTTGGTTGTATAAGGAGAGGCATAGAATCAAAATCACATGAAGTATCAGTACCACTTTATAAATCCTTAGTAAGACCAGGCCTGGAATCCTGCATCCAGTTTTGGCCGCCACATTACAAAAAAAAAAAGATGTTGAGACTTTGGAAAACAGTGCAAAGAGCAACTAAGATGATTAAGTGCCCAGAGACTAAAACATATGAAGAAAGAGTGCAGGAATTGGGTATGGCCAGTCTAGAGAAAAGAACTAGGGGTGACATGATAGCAGTATTCCAGTAATTGAGGGACTCCCACAAAGAAGAGGAAGTCAACTTATTTTCCAAGGCACCAGAAGGCAGGACAAGAAACAATGAATGGAAGCTACTCGGGGAGAGAAGCAACCTGGAATTGAGGAGAAACTTCTTAACAGGATGGACAATTAACCAGTGGAACAGATTGCCTTCAGAAGTTGTAGATGCTTCATCACTGGAGGTGATGGTACAGCCATCTGTCTGAAGCGATAGAAGGTCTCCTACTTGAACAGAGGGTTGGACTGTAAGACCTCCAAGGTCCCTTCCAGCTCTATTCTGATTGATTGAGGCAAAATATCTATGCGGCCTCATCTATGTATTACGGCTTCTTCTCCATTCCTCAGCCCAATTCGGACGTCCGATTTTCAGGTTTAAAACCCCTTTCAGGATACCGGGAAGATCAGCTTCTTCCTTTTTAGAGTTCCCAGATCTTGGATTGTCCAAGATCTCCCATCAGAAGGCAACTTGATAAAGATAACAGCGCCAATTATGGAAAGTCGTTTTTAGATAAAAACGTGCTTGGAGCTTTTTTTAATGTTCCATTCAGAGGTCATTTTTAATGTGTGATTTATAACGATAAAGAGAACAGCTAGAACCCCTTGGTCCCACCAGTCCATGCTTAGTTTAATCAGCTCTGGTGAAACAAAGGCCTCTCCCAAAGCCTTTCCCATTTTGAGTTGTACGATTACTTCGGAGATTACATTTGGAGCTATAGAGGCCAATATGGCAGGTTCTCCTGAACCTCTTTGGCGCTTACAGAGTTACAACTTTCAGAAGCACTAAACTAATCAGTAGTAAACCTCCTTATGTGGATACCAAAACTGAACCTCTAATTTAGGGTTAGAGTCTCTCATATGGTCAGAGATGATATACCAAAATATGACATTATCCCCTTTTTAAAGAACATTTTTCTCAAAACTGTTCATGTGAAGTTATAGGTCGCCCAGGCTATCTAAATCAGCATCAGAACCATCCTATAGTATCAGTGGAATAATGAGTCTCACCAAGGACAATGAAACATATTTAAAAACAAAAGTACTGGTTTCTAGCAAAAGCAATCCCCATGTATAGGACATGTCTAATACACTGGGGAAAAAAGGTGATATCTCTATTAGAATATAGCAAATGCTACTTATAATGTATATTTTGCCCATGCTTAACAGGGAAATAATTGTATTTCATGATGGAAACACAGCCTGAATGCTATATAGATTGTTATTTCCCTGTCTAATTTGCCATGTCCTCTTAATGCTCTTAGAAAGATACCTTTTTTTGTTGTTGTCGAGGGATCTTTTAATTAAAAAGAACGGTCGTTATCTGATTGTTGTACGTTCAATAATCTTCCTGTAAAACCAAAGAGACATAAAAAGACTTACAGGGAAATTTTTATGTGACTCTTATGAAGTTCCATAACGACGTAAAGGGTGTGGGAGTGTTTGATGGGATGTGGAGGAATCTAAAATTAAAGCCTCTGATAGCACTAAATCTGGCCTCAGAGCTTCACAGGAAGAGTGGAGAGATTTATCCAAAGTTGGGTTACTCGTGCAACTTTTACTTTTTTACACTATTATCTTGGGATCCGTATCCCTGAAGCTTTGTAATGAGCAGAAGGAGAGACCTTGGGGGTCAGGAAGAACCGCTGCTTCCTAGACAATAATCAGATAAAAGAAACCTGAGTCTGGGGCAGAGCTGTAACCTGAAAAAAATAATAATTCTGAAGAGACGCTCCTTCCCTAGTTTTCACAAAGATGAAGGAGGGGGGAAGGCATTGCAAGATTCCGTTATTGTATCTTTATAATAAAACTAATATTAGCCTGCATGACTTTGGATTCCTAGTCTGGAGGAGCTGACTTTTTTTAAAAAAAGTGAGGTGTTTTGTTTTTTCCCCCCTCCATTTCTCAGAAATAAATAATAATAATAATAATAATAATAATAATAATAATAATAATAATAATAATAATAATAATAATAATAATAATAATAATAATAATAATAAAGTTGGAAGGGACAATGGAGGTCATCTAGTCCAACCCCCTGCTCAGGCAGGAACCCTACACCATTTCAGACAAATGGCTGTCCAGTCTCTTCTTAAAAACTTCCAGTGTTGGCGCATTCACCGCTTCTGGAGGCAGGTTGTTCCACTGGTTCATTGTTCTCACTGTCAGGAAGTTTCTCCTTAGTTCTAGGTTGCTTCTCTCCTTGATTAGTTTCCATCCGTTGCTTCTTGTCCTGCCTTCAGGCACCTTGGAGAATAGCTTGACTCCCTCTTCTTTGTGGCAACCGCTGAGATACTGGAACACTGCTGTCATGTCCCCCCTCGTCCTTCTTTTCGTTAAACTAGACATACCCAATTCCAGCAACCGTTCCTTATATGTTTTAGCCTCCAGTCCCCTAATCATCCTTGTTGCTCTTCTCTGTACTCTTTCTAGAGACTCAGCATCGTTTTTATGTTATACTTTATACTTCGGTAAACTTGATGCAGTTTTCAAGCCTTGAAATGACGTATGAACTGGTTTTGCCTTATTCCAAATTCTTCGCAGCGCTCTTAAACTACAGGCAAACCATCGTCATTAGTAGATCAAATTTCCATTTCATTAAAGTCATCTCTTTCTTTAAAGACAGTCATTCATTACCAGTTAAAGTGAACCTATCTGAAGGAGAGAGAGAAAAAAAATCAGCCGGGGCTGAAATTCCTACCTTATTATTCATAAACCGAAACTCCGTGACATATTCGAATACGACTAAAAAGAACAGTTATGAAAGAACGGACCTTTAATTATTATTATTATTAATTGACTGCCAGGATGTAATTAGTTGAAAAAAAAACGAGGGGGAAGAATGTGCGAGATATGAATGACAGAGAATAGTTCCTCAAAGAGTTCCTGTAGGTCCTCTTCGGGCTCCGGAAGTACTCCGAAATTGTTAACCCAACTGTAAAAAAAGTAAATTGCAAATTAATTCATGCTTGCTCCCATGTGCAATTTGAATACACATAAACACTCTGATGGCTGACTATTCGTTACAGATAGGACTTCCAGCCTGGCTTAGCAGATGTGGAGCTTCCGTACTTCACAATCACAGTTAACAGAAATATGTACTCAAAATATAAGAGGCCTCGTTCACTTATCAAGCATTTGCATTACAAATGGAAAACCCAAACTTTAATCAGGGCAGAAGGACAGAAGGACAGAGTTGGAAAGGATCTTGGAGGTCTTCAAGTCCAACCCCTTTGTAGAGGATTTCTTCAAGCACGAAAGCCTGTACCAGGGGTAGGCAACCTTGGCTCTTTTATGACCATGCTGGCTCAGGAATTCTGGGAGTTGAAGTCCACGAGTCATAAAAGAGCCAAGGTTGTCTACCCCTGGCCTATACCATTTCAGACAAATGGCTGTCCAATCTCTTCTCAAAAACCTCCAGTGTTGGAGCATCCACGTCTTCTGGAGACCAGCCATTTCACTGATTAATTGTTCTCATTGCCAGGAAATTTCTCCTTATTTCTAGGTTGATTTTCTCTTTTATTAATTTCCATCCGTTGGTTCTTGTTCTGCCTTCAGGTGCCTTGGAGAATAGTTGACCCATCTTCTTTGTGGTAGCCCCTTAGATACTGGAACACTGCTATCATGTCACCCCTTGTCCTTCCTGCCAATTTGACTGCGGCTGACTGCCCTCTGAAGGCTAGGTCTACCTATCTTCAACAGATAAAGGAGAGGCCAGTCTAGCCAGCCTCAGGAGGGTGAGGGCAGGACTAGTCAACTGAACCTCCAGGCAGTGTATGGAGTCATGGTTCACATGGTTTCTAAAGCATGCCTCTGCAGGCAAATCCACCTTTGAAAGAAATTTAAAACCTCAGCCTTACAATAACTAACTTTATTCTAATTTGGCATTTTTTCTCTATTCCCAGAAATTCCTCAAGTTCTTCCAATTTTCCACACAGATGAACTGCCACACAGATACAAATAATTAAAATAAGCAGAGACACTTACAACAGCACCACAATTACAATGCTGTGTTTGATTATTTCAAATAACTTGTAAGTCAGCATCTAAAGTTTAGTTCTTGAATGGAAGATAAATGAGTAGAGCATGAAATGTGTCAAAATCCATAACATCCTGTTAATGGTTTGATCTTTCTGAAACCTTAGATATCCACTAAACCCTAAATAAGGTTTGTGCTTCAAAAATGTATGATGGCCATCTCCTCCCCACCTTTCTTGATAAAGCTCAAAGAGTTTGGACATTGACAGGAGGAACATCAAGAAGCAGCAATTAAATCAAGAACACCCGAACATTTGAGCCCTTGCGTTTCTCTGTGTGTGTTCATATTTGCAGTTGTTTATTAGTTTACTTTTGGCATGCATGCAAAACTCGTCACTAGATGTCTCTGCAGATCCATCAAGGTTAAAACTGATTACCAGTTGAGAAGCACTTCAGAACATGCATTCTGAAGAGACCAAAGGAGTCAGAATCAAAAAGTCTACAAAATAACACAATGAGCCTAGGACAATGAAGGGACCCTGAGAAATTCATATAACTAGTAATAATCCACACAAACCGTCCTCAGTTTTTTTTATGACAGTTGAAGGATTCTGGCTTGTGTAGCTCTGGAAGTGATGGTGTAATTCTGGAACATTGGTCCTACAGAATATCAAGCCTTGTGGTTTTGCCAGATTTTACACCCATGATGAAAGACTGGTGGCCCCATTTTCTGAAGTTGGAAGCCCTTCAAAATATAGTGTTAAGTTCTAAAAATGGATCAAAGTAATTTAATTTAGAAAAATAAAGGAAATCCTCAATTCTAAGGAGAGGAGGAGAGGGGAGGAAGGAAGGAAGGAAGGAAGGAAGGAAGGAAGGAAGGAAGGAAGGAAGGAAGGAAGAAAAATATTTAAAAAAGAAGATTATGAACACTCATCACTCAGGGTAGTGATGGAACGAGAAGTGAGATTTATACAGAGTAAGTGAAAATATTAAAACATTTACAGACATATTTTTCTGATAGAATCCAACAATACCAAATTCAGCTGCACGTTAAAAGGAAATTTCAAAGTCAGCTGAACAAAGACAGTGGATGAAACTACAGAAGCAATTGAGAGCAGCAAAAAAAATAGATAAGCCGAAGCATCGCCCTTTAACAAAAAAAGGACAATGAAGAGTAAAAGAAAAATGACAACTAAAAGGGAAAATATGCAGAAAGTTGAATATAGGCTTGCAAAACAGAGATAACACTCATTGGTGAGAAAAATGCTACAGCAATTAACAGGCAAAGGGCAACTATGAAACAGTTGATGGAGTTGGTGTCTTACACTCAACAATTCAAACAACTTTGAGAATCTCTCCAAAAAAAAAAAATAATCTCCAAGGATTCAAATCACCTTTCTCTGCTTTTATTTTGGAAGCTGCATCTCAAAGTCAAGCTTACTCAAAATTATGATCCCAACTCCATCCACTCTGCCACCCCCCCATCCCCATGTGTCATTAGATTTTAACGTTTGGTTTTAATTTATTAATGTTTTAATGTACATGTATAAATACATTTTTATGACTGTAAGCCGCCCAGAATTAGCCTGTGGTAAGATGGGCAGCCAATACATTTTATAAATTAAAAAATATATATTACATGTTGATTTCCTTCACCACAGTCAGCAAAAGAAAAGGATTCTTAGAAGCAGACTTTATACTGTTCAAGTAGGATGAATATTGTATATGGTAAGGTCCAGTGAGGAAAAATAATGTATTTTTCAAACAAACAATAAATGGCAATGAATGTCAAGTGATATAACCCCAGACCAAGGGTTCCCGTTTGTAAATAAAAGTGGGTCAAAAATGAAAATTATTACTTTCTTTCTACTGGCGCATGTACAATACTACCAAGCATGGCAAAGAGTGATTACAGAGGTAATCTTGGTGAGTTATTTCAGATACATTAAGATTTATTGCATAATTTACTTAATGTCTCTGGGTAGAACCTGCTTTTAAAAGCTCTGGGAAATGAACTTATTTTTTCATCCATCTATGTATATTTTCACCTAGTTTATTATTTTAAGCAGTTCTTCGGTTGCCAGGGGTTAAGGTACCACAGTAAAATTTGAATTTTGGTTTTACTATAATATTTTCCTTAAAGTTTTGGACAAAATGGGAAGCACCATTCTTTTATTCGTGTTTAATATCAAGAAATCAGTGTTATTTCTTCCAAACCATAAGGTGACAAAGAGAAGAAATGGCAATGAAAATACAAACGACCTACACATTAATAATTGGAAATAAATGCCATTTCCAATGGCCACAAAAAAATGTGGTTTGACTTTCATAACAGCCAAGTCACAAGCACAAAGCTGTCCTGTTCTTAAGATCACTAAGTTGTAGTTATTTATTAAATTTATAAGTCACCCAGTTTTCCATGATTCTGGGCAGTTAGTCAAGGCAGAAGATATTCTATCCCATTCCATTATGTTGATAATGACTTTAGCTCCTGAAAGTAATACAATATATTCAGTCATTCATAATTTAGTAATGAGATACCAGAAAACTATTCCCTTGTATAATTTTTATATTTTTAGATGCAGTTTTTCTTCATTTGTGCTTTATTTGCACAGATCTTCATCTGTTTTCTATTTTTGTTTGTGTATAGATTTTTCTCCAAAAAGTCAAATGTGTTGGTTTTTTTTAAAAAAAAAAAATCTATTATGCAGGCCCTCCTGAACTTTTCCAGAAAAAAACTACTAAGCGAGAATTGGAAACAAGAATGTTATGGGAATACACAATGCTATTCTCAAGATCTGATTTTAATTGCTAGTCTCTCTTCCTGCATATTTTAAACTCGTGTCTCTAGTGCTGAGTTACATAGTTTCTTTGTTTGCTGAAAATAAGCAGGAATTTTCAGAATAACAATGTCCTTCTGTATTTTTACAGCAACGCTTTGATCATACAAGTGTAAGTAGAACTATGCTATTTTCCATGTATAAATTATTGCTAGGCAATGTAGTCATACAATACTTCCTTATTCAACCACTCTCCCCCCCAAAAAAATACTGACAAGTCACATGGAAACAAATATTATCCATCTATATGTCTGCCTCTCTGTCTATTTATCTATCTATCTATGAGACCCATGGTGGTTAGAATGCAGTATTGCAGACTAATTCTGCCGACTGCCAGCAGTTCAATCCTGACATGCTCAAGGATCATGACCGACTCAAGCCTTCCATCCTTCCGAGGTCGGTAAAATGAAGGCCCAGATTGTTGGTGGCAACATGCTGACTCTGTAAACTGCTTAGAGAGGGCTGTAAAGCACTATGAAGCAGTATATAAGTCTGAGTGCTAAGTGTTTGATCTATCTATCTATCTATCTATCTATCTATCTATCTATCTATCTATCTATCTATCTATCTATCTATCTATCTATCATCTATCTATCTATCTATCTATCTATCTATCTATCTATCTATCTTCATATCTATCTATCTATCTATCTATCTATCTATCTCCATATCTATCTATCTATCTATCTATCTATCTATCTATCTATCTATCTATCTATCTATCTATCTATCTATCTATCTATCTATCTATCTATCTATCTCCATATCTATCTATCTCCATATCCATCCATCCGTCCGTCCATCTGTCTATCTGCACCACGTTGGATTGACAATAAATTAGTTACCCAGATACAACAGGAATGAGGTGCAGCACTTCACTAAGAGTAACTAATTTAGTCCAGAATTCAATTCATATTTTTTGCTTGCCGGATAAATACATAGGAAAATCCAACTGGGATGGAATTCCACTTAGTATGGGTTGGATTTGGAGAGGACAAAACAAACATCACCAATAGATTCACAGAGGTTGGTTATCCTTAGGAGGCTTCTTACATTTCCAATCCCCCTTACTTTCATTTCGTGGATAATCTATAGGAAATTCTAACAGGAGTTACTTTTCAACTTCCTGTGAAGACAAGGGCTGCACTTCTGTAAAGCAGACTTGCCAAAATTCCTTGCATACCAAGTGATGCAAACTGTCAGGCCCAGTTTAATGTATTCCAATTACAAAGTTAAAGACAGCTTGAGGACAGGTTCGGAATGCAACAAGGCATAATATTAGCACACCGGCCATATGTTGGTGCCTATAGAAGTATTCACAGCTTACCCATCAACAGCTTTAGTATTCAGCCCTGTGCCTCATTTAACCAGAGGTAAATAACAGGATCAATCCCTTAAAATCTGAAGCTAAGAAAATAAAGAGTCTATCCTTCCAATACACTTTCAATGAAAGTGACTTTATACAGTGTATGATGAAGATATAAATCCATAAGACTATCTATTATTTTGGAGCAATTACTTTTACACAAGTCACTATCTCGTTTTAAAGACCTACTACTCGGCAGAGAACTAAGTAAGTAAATAAGATAATAAATAGCCAAAAATAAAACCCAACGCCCACTGAATATGTGGCTTTTTGATGTGGTTGGTGTAAATTCTACATTTTGTTTCAACGGTGGCGTACGATATTTTACAGACTCCTACTTTGCAACACTTATGAATAACAATTCCCCAAAACTTACCTTACTGGATTGCTTGTCAGAGACACCCGCAGAGATTCTAAGCAGTTGAGAAGCTTTTCTTCTGAGATACCTGATCGTAGTTCGTGGACATATTCCTGCGACGACAATGTGCACTCGTGTTTACTGTTTTTCAGGCCACCCTTAATGAGAAAATAAAATCAAGTGATAAAATTATTTTGGGAAACAAGAGTTAGTTGATGCATGTAATCGAAGAAAAGCAGGCAAGCTACTTTATTTCCAGGCTTCACTTCTTAGTAAGTTCTCTACGTGCCCAATGAACCTAAAACTACATAACTCTGCAGATATAATTACTTACTTAACCAGGCTCAGGATTAGGTTATAGGATTGTACAGTTCCCATCCCTTCATTTTCTTACAGACTTATCCTCTCACCCAACTTTAGCTGAGATCAAAGTTAGGACTGAATCAATTTAACCATGTAATTCTAATGACAGTCATAATTCTCATGGGAATTTGGTTTTAAGATGATACTTAAAAAAAAAAAGCCTTAAATCCTTGGTTTCAAATCCCTTACAGAGCTACATGGTTAAAATGGGTGCCTTAAATTCTATGTGTGTTCTATATCCTATTAATGTGTTCTATTACATTTTGTATGTAGGAGAAGAGAATGGGCGCATTATTATTTTTTTAAAAAAAATACGTTATATACATGCATGGACAGAGAGAGAGTAAGGCTTCCCTGGTAAATGAGACAGGAAACAAAATCAGATGAGCTAAATCTACTTTATTGTAAGATTTCTGTCAATGCTGCTAACATCGGATGTTCTTGCTTGACAATATATGAAGATGCAGACATTTTCTATTTAACCTGTGTGTTACTTTTAGAGTTAAAATTACATGGTGCTGGAGGGGAGGGGGGAAGAATGTGCTTGGGGACTAGTTGGCCATAACAATATCTCAGTAGAGTATTCTTCCAGGTTGGTTATAATAATAATAATAGTAAAGTTGGAAGGAACCTTGAAGGACATCTAGTCCAACCCCCTGTTCAGGCAGGAAACCCTATACCATTTCGGACAAATGGCTGTCCAGTCTCTTCTTAAAAACTTCCACTGTTGGAGCATTCACCACTTCTGGAGGCAGGTTGTTCCACTGGTCAATTGTTCTCACTGTCAGGAAGTTTCTCCTGAGTTCCAGGTTGCTTCTCTCCTTGATCAGTTTCCATCCGTTGCTTCTTGTCCTGCCTTCAGGCACTTTGGAGAATAGCTTGACTCCCTCTTCTTTGGGGCAGCCCCTGAGATATTGGAACACTGCTATCATGTCTCCCCTCTTCCTTCTCTTCATTAAACTAGACATACCCAATTCCAGCAGCCGTTCCTCATATGCTTTACCCTCCAGTAAGAGGGTATAAGTAATGAGGGTATAAGTAAGAGGGTATAAGAGGAGATAAGTAATGGCGGTTATGGAACAGGAGGGAAAGTTCGCACTTCAAACTAATTGGAGAACGTGATTAATGACTGTTAAATGAAGGAGTGAGTTATGCTTAGATACTGTGCGTTTTGGGGAGGAGAATTCAGATTTTGGCTTCTTCTATGTACGTGCAGAAGCTATGTTGCTGTTAAAGATTCTTTAAGAAAAACAATGCCTCAAAGTTCTTTGAAGAGCTTCTTCTTTCGGAACCATGACAGTTACATTAATAGAATCTTACAAGTTTGAGACTACAAACTTCCCACCAGCCACTTTTAACTGCTATACCTGTTAGGTGAGGTCCTTTCTCAATTTCTTTCTTTGACCATTAACCACCCTCTCTTGTTTGATTATTTCATAAGCAGCATCTCCTCCACCTGTTCCTCAAGATATCCATGCATCCATTATATAAACTTATATAATGAAGATTGGTCTAGAATTATCACCACTACACAACTAATGTTAAAATAAACACCAGAAAACAAATATCAGCACTTTAATTGTCCCTTTTCTTACCAATAAAGAAAAAATAGTAGACATTAATTTGGGTATCTCTAAAATATTAATTCTCGATGTATTATAGATTTCTTCCCAAACTAGTATATTTGAGTCACCACTGAAGAAAAGGACTCAAAAAGGCACCTATACTCAGAAAAGTATAACTGACATCAATTCTTATATACTGCATGATTAGAAAGCCATTTCTGAGGTACTCAGTCTTTGAAACTTCAAAATTTCTCGATTCTTGCCGATTGAGAGCAATCTAACTGTGTCTCTCTCTTACTTTTCAATCTTAAAGCAACTCTTGAGTCCCCTACCATTACAAATAATAAACAATCATGAATCTATTTCATTTGTTTAGGAGATGCTTTGACTCCAAAGACCTTCGCAATATACTTCTTAACCCCTCTGCATACCACCATTTGAATGCCACCAACCTAAGATTTTATTTGTTTCAGTTGAGAAGAATAACATATGGAGTAGGAAGGTAATTCTCAGTAGTAAATTTCCCCGCTATAGCTTTTCTTCTAATCTGGCAGGAGAATTTGAAGCCCTAGAACTCTGGTCTAACTCCACATTTTGCATTCAGAATATTAACACATGCAAAGTTTTAGTACATATCCTGCTGGAAATTATGGGGTGTGTTTACACATGTACTAAGAAATGCAATGTGTTCGGTATACACAATGCCAAAAAAAATATGTAAACAGATGTTCAAGTTTTACCGCAAAACTATTTTAAGATCCCTAAAATCTATATAGAGCAGTTTTCCCAATTATGTTTACTTTAATTAAACACCCAAGGCTGTCAAATTTACATGTAAAAAATAAAACGTCTGAGCTGCTTATTGGTTCATTTCTCTTCTATTGGATGCTTGAGCTTACTTTAAAATCGTGACCTTCCAGCTCTATTCTATTCTATTCTATTCTATTCTATTCTATTCTATTCTATTCCCTATTCTATTCTATTCCCTATTCTATTCTATTCCCTATTCTATTCTATTCTATTCTTTCATTCCATTTCTATTCTACTAATAATGAAGGTTATACCATAATAAGAAAATAAGCCAGGTTTAATTTAATGAAGATATCACAGTTGCCCAAACTAATATCAGTATATTACCTATGCATTGGTAGTTTAGCTATAATGTTGGGGTAGCTTCAGATTTCCTATTTCAAGTAGTCTTAATCAGATCCAGATTTTTCCACCCTTTTAAGTCTATAATAATTTACCACAGGACTTTTATGATGAAGTGAGGGACAGAAAGTGAGAGCACAACTGCACACAGAGAAAGAGATTAATGCAGTCTAACACATGCTGCCTTGCCATAGCCAGCTCCAATGAACACACATACACACTTTCACCTTTCTACCCATTACCTTGTAAGTTGTATCAAGAAGGCAAACATCCTTCATTGATGTTGATTCTCTATTACAGCCACATCATCGCATGTACAACAAGAGTTCAAGACCATTCATTTGAGGCAGGGCAAGAGGAACACGTTTAACCTCTAGACCGCTTCACATTTTTATATCTCCATTGATCAAAAGGGTCTGCATAATGCAAATGTACAAAGCCAATTATGGAGCACAAAAGTCAGAAGGCGGTATTAATTAGCGCTGGAGAATAAAGAAAGTAATTTCACGTGTCAATAATAATTGCCCTGTCAGCATTTTTGGGTCGCTGTCCAGGAGCCTCTAGAGAGCTGCAACCTAACTTCCAAGCCCAGTTAATGAAAACAACCTAAGACATACATACATACATTTGTGTTATTATGTGTAGCAATATCAAAATCTATCACTTTGTGTAGTCCTAACATTCTTATTAGAGTAACTGAGAGTAGTAGGCAGAAATAAGAGATAAAATCTTTAATACTGTAACCACCCAGAGTCATCTCATGGTGAGATGGGCTGCAAATAAACTCAATAAATAATAATAATAATCTTAGAATTTATTTGTTTGTTTAGTACATTTATTTGCTGCCCAGCTTGTATCCAACAATTCTGTTTGGCTTACAAATTTCTGTCTCAGTTCTATTAAAATGGCTGGAAACAACTGCCTAAACATTCAAGACATATGAAAGGGATCAGAGAAACTACTTTATAAATATCTACCTATAGCAATAATAATAAAAAATCTCATAACAAAATTAATTGATTTAAGAGGTGCCTGTACTGAATAACTTCAGAAAGCGAAGAGCGTTATGTCAAAGCTTGCAAGTAATGTTACCTTCAAATAAGACCTGTGTCTGATAGACACGTTGTATATCAATATGCTGTACATGTTGTCATTTGTTAACACAAATACATTTGTAGACTCGTTAAGGAAAAGGGTTTTAAATTATCTACAAAGCAATACAATTCTTGTTTATGTAGGAATAAGCAGGAAAGGAAGAGTCAGTTTGCTGTAGTGGTTAAGGCACCAGGTTAGAAGCAGAAGCCAATAGAAGCAGAAGCCAATAGATAAATGTACATCTCCCAGGATATTGTTGCAGGATCCAATCTGGGTTGGTCTTCCTAGCTTTTGAACTCATGCTGGAGCCCACCCTGAGGGAATTTCTCTCTACTGGAACATTTCAGAACATTCTGGTAGAGAGAAGTTCTCTGAGAACGGGTTTCAGCATAAATCCGAAAGCTAGGAAGATTAAAACTCTGGTCCTGGTGACCAACCCAGATTGGATCCTGCAACATAATAATAGCACAGTGGCATGTGAAGGGAATCAAATTCAGACCACATCACTACAATGATGTCAGAGAAAATAACAAAGATGGACTCATTCCATCTTCAGATCCTATGCCCGAGGGAATATCCAGGTTATTACATAGTTTATGCCTACTGATTCGAAGTTCTTCTAACCAGTTTCAAATAGTGAATGCATGTCTTATCTATTTTGTCACAAAGCCATGTTTGACAGATCCTTCCTACCGAGTTGGTAGCAATGGAACTTGCTACATAACACGACTTTTTTCTTCTACTGAAATACCAACTAACCAGTATGCATCATAGTGATTCTCCCAACTTTGACAGATAAGCAAACATCTCTTTACAAGAAGACTACATCATAGCTACAGCTCTAGTAAATTGCAGAAATTGGCTTATTTCAGAACACTGGTTATTATTAATACACAATTCCTAAATCTCCTTAGTTTGACATAGTCTGTGCCTGAATTTAATGAAGTCAAGTCAGATATTTTTTCACCCACAGCATCCCTAAT